ACAGGGGACACCAGGCCGTCAACTCCCCATCACTGTGACACAGGGGACACCAGGCCGTCAACTCCCCATCACTGTGACACAGGGGACACCAGGCCATCAACTCCATCATCACTCTGACACAGGGGACACCAGGCCGTCAACTCCCCCATCTCTCTGACGCAGGGGACACCAGGCCGTCAACTCCGTCATCACTCTATCACAGGGGACACCAGGCCGTCAACTCCCCATCACTCTATCACAGGGGACACCAGGCTGTCAACTCCCCATCACTCTATCACAGGGGACACCAGGCCATCAACTCCGTCATCACTGTGACACAGGGGACACCAGGCCATCAACTCCATCATCACTCTGATGCAGGGGACCCCCACACATTCATTTCCTTCGACAATAATCAGTCCTCTATGATTATCGAGGCTCTATTATGAACTTGTGTTTGGTGGAAGAGCATGTGTTAGTTTCTTGAATTCTATACATCCAGCTTTAAATATTTCAGCTCCATTCCTAAGGACTAATCCTATAATCCTCCCCAGTAGAGTATCTGTACAACTGTAGTATTCTGAATAATAGATTAATTGTATTCATGAGGACTTTTGTCTGAGTCATTAGAGGGAAATCTTAACAAATAAATTAATATACTATGCCCAATACTGACAAGAAATGAATATTTACTACCTTTAAATCCAACACAAGGATAAACATATATAATGTTTAGCAATAAATGTTTCTTTCTAATCCCTGAACAAAATCATGAGACGGCTTAAATATTTAACAATATAGGGTCGTAATCATATTTTTACAATTCACAAAGTATTTTTAATTGCCTTAAATATTTGAAAAGTATTAAAAAACAATTAGGATCTCTCAAAACTCCCACACAAAAACAAGGCAAAGGAGCTGATTTAATCATTTATTGTTGAATATACCTTTGCTTCAAAAAGAAAAGAATTCAATCAGGAGTAAAATCTTAGGCTAATGTTGTGACTTCAGTGACTACCTCTCACATTCAGTGTCCATATTGCCAAAAGGACTCTGACACTAGGTACTGAGAATAAAATACAGAGTATATATAAAATTTTAAAAGAATAAAGCATCATTCTAGTATACTGGCAGCAACCAGTGGAATATTAATGCAATATCACAAAAAAATTCAGATTTTTAAAATTACTACAATTGGTGATAACAATGAGGAAAATTAATATGTTGCCCAAACTATGTCGTCTGGAGGTTGTGCCCGCGCAGTGAGTAAAAGCAAGAACACTTGCTGTGTGGTGCGCATAAAGACCTGAGTTCCATCCCAAGCACCACCACAGAAAAGCCTGCATGATGGTACAACCTATATTCCCAGCACCGGGAGGCAGAGACAGGTGAGTTCCAAATGCTGATGTCCAGCCAGCCGGGCTAATGAGTAAGCTTCCAGTTCAGTGAGAGACTCGAGGCAGTCAGGCAGAGAGCAATAGAGGAGTACATTCAATGTCCTGCTCTGGCCTCTCTGCATAGGAACGCACCCCACAAATCACACATATACAACACACAGAACATACAAACATACACACACAAGAAATACAGCATTCTAACCAAACTTACTTTTTATTACTTGCAAAACACTGAGGATTTAAAGCTGATGAAACACAATAACTATAAGGCGATATAGCACTCATTTTACACTGTTATGATTTTCTAAGTACTCACATTACTTGCAAACTGTCTGCTGTTAAATTATTCCACATGATCTCATTTGCCTGAAGGTTTTCATTTTCTTCTAATAAGGAAGTATCAAATTCGATTTCTTGTTCTTTAGCAGCTGTTGTTCTAGTAAAGTATGCCAAATAATTCTAATCAATATTAATATACTATCATAATCCATCTCAGTGCATACCAAAGGCAAAATATTTAATATTATTCTAAATTATGCTAACAAAGTAAACACAATCGTATAATTCAGAGAAAACCCTAGGCATTAAAGATCCAGTCATGTAACCTGAGTCTTGGTTTCTTCATTTATAGAATATATATACACACATTAAGCCAGTTTATCAACATCACAATTTTTTAAAGTATAAAACAAGATGTATACAAAGGAAAGAAATTAGTGCCTCAGAAAAATTAATACACATAGAAGCTCATAGTGTCATTTATTATGTAAATGTCAAGGAAATACAATTTCATAGGTTAAATATGGATTTAAATAATGAAATGTCAATTGAAAGTATTAAATATAATTTTATAAATTAGTTACCAACTTTAAGACAGTCTTTTAAAAATAAAAGATAAATTCATATAAAATAAACTGCTCTAATAAGATTATCTCTTAAGTTTGTTAAATACTCTATTATAAGAAACAGTATCTTCATAAACAGCTTAAAAGGAATGAAAATGCCATACCTGTGAACATCTATGAAATTATTATATTCTGTGCTAGGGTCTATCTGTTCGACGGACATCTGAATCTCTTTATGGACATTCACTATTTCCTCTGTAACAAGGCTTGTTATCTGGCTATATTCATCAAATATACCTTTTCTGAAAGCAAAAATAAAATTGTATATGTTAATGTTTTGGCAAGAGAAACACAGACCCAGAAAGGAATCAGAACAATAAACATAAGAAATGCAGTATCGGTGTTTGAAGCGTGGTAGATTTGTGCACCACTGTATTTGGTACACATGGAACATGAAGGGGTTATGTAACTGTGCAATAATTTAAACACACCATTACCAATTCCAGTATGTATACGACATGTCCAAGAGGCAGGGACAGTCAGTACTAATAACTTTCTACTCTTCAATATTCTATTAGAAACACGGGATTCTGGAGCACAGAGCTCTGACAAACCCCTGTTCCATTGTTTCTTCCTAGTGTAAGACACTCCTCAAATGTCCCACTCTCCTCTTAGTCCTGGGGATGGATAGATATATATGAGACAGATAGACAAATAAATAGACAGATAGATCTTAGTTCATCTTTTGTGGCATCTGTTTCTTCTCCTGACCTCCAATCTGCAGCAAAAATTTCATCAAGGTTATTAGCTTATTCTAATTAAAGAGAAAGGAAAAGAATCCTGTCACACAGACCAGATCCCCTACTTTTACAGGCTGTGCTTTATAAATACTGATTATTATTAGTTTCAAGCAAAGTATGGGCAAATAAGCCTATTCTGCATATATTCAGATAAACATAAAACAGGGTTTGTCTCTTTTCTAAAATAATTACTTATGAATCAAAATTACTGCTTACAAACTTCCCTTGTACATTACTTCAATTACTGTTAAGGCTTTTTGTTTGTTTGTTTGTTTGGTTGGTTGGTTGGTTGGTTGGTTGGTTGGTTGGTTGGATGGTTGGTTGGTTGCTTGGTTGCTTGGTTTTTGAGACACAGGGTTTCACTATATAGCCCTGGCTAGACAGGAACACACCATGCAGACAAGGCTGGCTTCAAACTCAGAGGGATCTGTGCCTGCCAATGTCTCTGAGTGCAGGGACTAAAAGTCCACACCCAACTAATAGCTTTGTTTTAATAGAAAAATAGTGTTAGGGACACAAAGTTAAATTGAATCAGGAAAAAAAAAATCCCACACACATTTTCAGTGAAAGAAAACTGAATCTAAAGATTTGCAAAATGCTCAAGCAGAAAATAAAGGAAGAGAAGTTCATCAAAATGGCTCATCATTTTCTGCTCCTATGTACAGGACAATGTGTATGTGCATGTAACTTACTAACTGTAATGCACTATTAACTCCTTAAAAGGTAAGAAACTTGGCCCACATATGCATTCCCAAGCAGATATTCAATGAACACACTATTTTTCATTTAAACACATAGCTAAATGGAACAGCAAAGTAAATAACAAATACAATATATAGAGGTCTATCCTTTGGGCATGCTAGGTCATGAGCATAAGTGAAGGAACATCACAAGTAAAACTCAAGAAAAAAGTTTAACAAGTCTGAGAGGCCCAGTGGTCTACGTAATCCTGCAGTTTCTAGAGCAGATGTGTAACTGGGAGAAACGCTGAATTGGATTTTGAAGGGATTTCATGATAAACAGGAAGTGTATCTTACAGTGCTTTTATCATTTCTTCTTGCATCTTTTGCACAGAGTCCAGCAGCAGAGGAAGTGTGGTATCGTAATACTGACTCTGATGGAGCTGGGCCCCCTTCAGTGCCAATACATACTGATTATGCAGCATATGAAGCTTCATTGTAGCTTTGTCATAGCGCTCCTTGGCCTTTTCTGTTTCCTTCCCTGAAGAAAACATGAAGATAGCAAATAGATAAGTTTGATCTTCACTGTATGCATCTAGACTGCTCTTATTTCCCACGTTTAATGAGAAAACAACTCTGCTGACTGTGTACTGTGTGTAGAGTGCTATGTCAAGTATTGTTCATCAGTACTCAGCAGAGTTCCTGTGCAGCACATGCTCGGTCAAAGTTAGAACACACAAATACAGACATCCCATACTTCTCTTCAAAGGTCCTTACAGCATGTCGGGACAGCTGCTCACATGAGAATATGTAAGCAGGAAAGCACATAAATGTTAAAGTTTAAGGCATGTCTAAGATATCAGTAGACGAGTAATCTAAGGAGGCTTCGTAGAAAAAAACAAACTTAAAGATGCACATGTATAGAAAAGTATAGCCAAGATAACAAACAATACAGCCTCCCTCGTGTGACTGTTACCAACAGGACACTTCTGTGCTGCATTTCAGGGGATCCCTGTTTCAAAGAGTCCTTGATGAAGGGCATGGCAAACTGAATACTGAGGAAGACGTGGAAAGAAGAAGCAGTGTTGCAGAGGTAGGCTGAGAGAGAAAGTCACGTTCAGGAAAATGAAGAACGCACTCTTCAGAGGTAGGGCAATTCAGACTTGCCAATCAATCAGACAGATAATGTCATGAATCAGAAACCTTTTGTGGTTCTTTATTATAGAAATCATTTAAAAGTCTTTATATATTGCTAACATAAGTACATGACTATATCAACTGATACAATTTTAAGTAAGTCATAGATTTTTGGTACAAACTGAGTAAATATGACTTTTACCAATTTAGACTAGAGAATATTTTTAAATATTTATTAATTCTTCCCTTCTTTGAAGGAAGTCTGCAAGTGAAATCCTACCCCCAGAGAGAGAGACCTTACATTATTTTTTAAGTTTTATTTGTGTGTATGTGTGTGTGACTACCATGTTTGGGGAGTGCTCATGGAGGTCAAAGAAGGACATCAGATCCCCTGAAGGTGGTGGGGAGCCGCCTGCTATGGGTGCTGGGAACGGAGCCCTGGCCCTCCAGAAGGGCAGTAAGTGCCCTTGTACTAACCACTGAGCCATCTCTGAAGGCCTGGATTGAGAATTTGGGCTAAGAGAAGCTTTCCTGTGCTGCCAATCTGCTTAGGCTCTCAGTACCTACCTGCTATGATCATCTGTGTGAGAACCGCTCTAGTCCAAATGACAAAAGCAAAGACAGAGTGGCATTTTTTGCAGAGACTTAGACAACATCCTCTACCACTATTCCCAGGAATAGAAAAACAAAGGGAGAAATGCAGCTCCCTTGCGTTTCTCACACCACCTCTACCTACGAGGCAGAGCGACATAAAACGAAAGAATGTCAGGGCCAGAGGACAGGCAGAAGCACTGTGAAATGCTGCCTTCTAGACACAACATGGCTGTCCACACAGGAACCCATAGCAGCTGTGGTTTCCTACACAAGATCAAGACAAGTTAAACATCCAGCATGGATGGGGTGGCAGTCCTAAGGCCCCAGCCATAGCTGAAGACCCTTCGGCAGCTGCTGAATCCTGTGGGAAGAAGTCACTTTTTCTTGGGCGTGGGACCACTAATACCTTGTCCGTGCCCCAGTGGTTAATCCCACATCTATGTGTATAAGGTCATCACACTGTACTCAGCGGGTTGTGTTCTCAAAGAAAAAGAAAAATAGGAAAGACATTAAAATGGTGTAGAAATGTGTTGGTGGACCTAGTGCAAGCTGAATGTGCTGGAGAGTAGATATGATTCATGATACTTCACATACATGTATTAATTATTCAAAGAATATATTAAATATCTAAACATCTACTAAAAATATAAAAATAAAAAGGAAATCGCCCTTCCTGTAGACTAGTATGTCTCTATGACCCACACATCTGGAATTCCCAAAATATCAGACCCACCATGGACCTCTTCTAAGAAGATGAACAGAATTATTTTACAAAAGAAGTCCTACTCCACTAATATCTAGTTCTGACACAGAAGAATTTTAATAACTGTGTAAGTTATTTTATAAAATGTTATCCCTGGTGCTACATCTCTGAGTCAGGGGGAAGAGAGGGTTGGAGGACCAGAAAAGAGCAATTCAATTATGACAGAAATTAAACTACAAAGAATAGGGCTTTCATATTATTTGACTATAATAGGGTATGACATTTTCTGTCATAAATTGGTACAATAATCATACAGGTTAGTAATGGTATAACTTAATATGAAAGAACTCATTACTATCTGGTAGCCTTTGTTTTTGGTTTTTGGTTTTTTAATTACATCCTATTCGAAATTCAGATTTGAAGAATATTTATCAAAATCTAATGAACATTTTACCTCAGTTATACTAAATCCTTAAAGAAGTTTTAACTCAATAGTATGTCCTTGGAATAATTTTATTACTCAGCAATTAAGTCATTTCAATATTAATTATAAAAAGAATATATATATTCTTCCATGGAATAATGTATAACTTTTCTGAGAATAACATATATACAGCATTTCTACCCATGAATATCACTATTACCATCTTTCTTGCAGAACTACAGTTCATTGAAAGTCCTAGGGTCAATCAACCGACACGTTTTGTGACTACTTGTTCCTTCCACCCACAGGAGTAAACTCCTGTAGGGAGCTGACGCCCAAAGACTTACGCTGCCCAGCCTTGAGTGGAAGTTAAGTGGCACTGCCACCTGAGGGAGACAGAATGTATAACTGGCCGACTGCTACCCTTCCTGTGACCACTTCAACATCTGTGTTCATTTTCTCTTTTGTTTCAATTCACTGTTTTTAAAAGCTAGTTTGTTATTTGAAATTAAACAACTTAATTCTGACAACACAATTCACAAGACTATGTACAATTATCTAGAAATAGTTCAAGTCAAAAAGATCCTGTCCACAGTCTACATGTTCATAAGAAAACAAAAGAGTTTCCGATTAAGAGTAGCTGAGTATCGTGGTATAATCTGATGCTTTTTTTTTTGTACTTTAAAAATCCTGACAACTGAACTCAACTAATTCCACACTTAATGTCCCCCTTTTTGAACTATTTGTACGTTTTTTTTTTTTCACTTTAACTGTAGAATTCCTAACTCATTCTTATTTTTTTCTAACTTCAAAAGTCATCTCTCCACACATACATTTTCATTGGGACATTTAAACCGCCCATCTGTTTCCTATTTTCACAGATTTTAAACTGCACACTACCCATCTGCCTTTGTATTTGGTGTAGAATGACACATTAAGTTCACCACACTCAACTCACTATGGTGTTCATAACATAAAAGAGAGCAACCTTAATCTCACAGCCGCTACTTCTTTCTGAAATAGGTGGACTGTGTGATCAACAAACTAAATAGGAACATTATAGCCAAAGTCTAATTACCAACTGCTTACTGACAGTCACGAAGAAAACTCAAAAAAAATAAACTGCCTTTGAAAACATCCAACAAATAATCTATTACATTAAAATAAGAATTCTTCAATAACACCTTGAGGTCTAGAACTAGATGTGAAGTTATAGTTTAGAAGGGTTTGGGGGAGAAAGTGCACTACCACTCCCCACACATCTACCTTTGGCTATAAAGCAAGCTTGTGGCAAATACACTACCATCAGTCTATCTACTGCGCCCTCCCTTGAAGGTACAGAGTTTTGAAGACCTGCCTCACTCTCATAATTTGGAAAAGAACTCTACGGCACTTCTATAGATTTGTTTTACAAATAAATATCTACAGTCACATGGAGACTATGTAAATAAACCCCAAAATATCAAAAATATATACAACAAAAGATGGACACAAGAAAGGGTAATAAGATTTATGTGACCCCTCCAAGTGCCAGTAGAAAGATCCTGGGCCCAGGTTCTGTTTGTGTCTTTACACAGGACAATGAGGTTCCTCTTTGGGTTCCTGAGCGCTGAGTGCGCCCTGTGGCTGCTGCCGAATCCCAACATGACAGAGATTTATTGGGTCTTCGTGAAAAACTCTCCCCTTCTGATGCCAATGGGGACTGAGAACCCAATATGGACAGCTTTGGCAAGCATTAACATAGGCCTAGGAACTGTAGCCATGCGGTTGGATTCTCCAGAAGGTAATGTATAGTAACTGCTTTTTCAATTATGTTTGAGAACGTGTCACCCAGACACCTTGGAGATTAAGGATAACCCTGAAGGTCACTGACCTCCATTTGTTAACAGTTGCATGCCAGCTAAGCCTTTTCATTTTCACAATCCTCTACAAGCTGGTGTAGTACCTACTTTACAGGAGTGGCTCTGTGCAACATTTACTGGCCTCCTGAAATTCATTTAGCCCCCTTTGAAGATACCTTAAAATTTGTGAGCCTGAATGTAGCCATGATGAGACCATTAGTTCTGCTCCTTGTGAGCTGCCTGTTTTTTCTTTATGGTTCTTAGTTGTTCTTTTGCAGAACTGCCAGATTAAGTCATGCTGGGATTAAGAAAAATTGGTCTTGGTGGTTCTTATTCCTGGAGTTGTGTCCATACCAGTGGATGCCCACACGCTCCAGAAGAGAATTTGACATTGCTGCTGCTGTTGTTGCAATTATAGCGGTAGCGGCCACCACTGCTACTGTTTCTGGGATTACCATTTCATAATTGTTTACTACAGCTAGCACAGTGGAGACCCTGGCAGCAAAAGTAGCTACAACAGTTAGTTAATCTTCCATTCTATTGGGCATGATAAATTTAATTCAATAGTTATATACATTTCAGTTGGCTTTGAAAGTTATAAATTTATAAATTCAAGTTCCATTTGCTTTTGGGATACCATCTTACAAGGACTCTAATCTGCAGTAAGGCTCATTAAGGAAGGGAATGGCTCAGTTGCCTTTAGCCTACTGGCTATGGGTGAGTTAGGACTTCTGTTGGTCCTTTCTGTGTCGAACACACAGATTGCAAGCCCAGCGCCACTTTGAGATCTTTGGCAGCAGTTAACTCTGCAGCTCACACGTGATTAAGTCTATATGACAATGAGTATTCAGAGATGGGTAATGCCTGGGGGCGCTCACCAACCTAAGACAGAGCGCCTGTGTGGCCTGAGCAGGTGTCTCCATGACGGGTAAGGTGACCTGCTGACATCCCACACAACCTAAGTCAGAAGCTCATTTTTTAGTAAAAGGGGGGAACTGTAGGGCCCTGGCCCCATTTTGGGTAACTGTTGCTTTGCTTGCTGACCTTGACCTTGATATCATCCCTATGCTAATTCCCTGCCGGGTTCCACCCTCCTGAATGCTTAAGGGAAGTTCCTTGTCTGTGTACCCTGCACATTGGGCATTAACAGCTTAGATGTAAGATTGTAAAATATTGGTATCGAACTTCTGCCTTCCTGTGCTGTAAGCCTGTATTTAAGACTTCCTCCCTCCTTCAATAAACGGCATTCGGCATTCAAAATAAATAAATAAATAAATAAAGTTAAATAAAGAAAAAAATCACTATATCAATAAATAAATAAATCAGTATCTAAAAAATGATTTATGTGACATGGAAGCAGAAGGAGGGTTATTAGGGGAGATGGACAGGAAAAGAGAGACAAAGGAGATGGGCAGGAAGAGGGAGACAGAGGAGGTGGACAGGAAGAGGGAGACAGAGGGGATGGACAAGAAGAGGTAGACAGAGGGGATGGACAAGAAGAGGGAGACAGAGGAGGTGGAGGACAGGAAGAGGGGGACAGAGGAGGTGGAGGACAGGAAAAGGGGGACAGAGGAGGTGGAGGACAGGAAGAGGGAGACAGAGGAGGTGGAGGACAGGAAGAGGGGGACAGAGGAGATGGAGGACAGCAAGAGAGAGACAAAGGAGGTGGAGGACAGGAAGAGGGGGACAGAGGAGATGGACAGGAAGAGGGAGACAGAGGAGGTGGAGCCGAGTGGGAAGCGAGAGTAAGAACAAAGTACTGTAATAAATACACATGAAAATGTCACAGTGAAGCCCATTATTTTCATGCTAACTAGAAATAAATGAAATAAAGAAAAAATTAAATATTGTTAATCTTTCACTTAACAAAATTATGGTTTAAAAAGAAACACCACCTAATGCAATTCAAGCTATGTATCTATATGGTTAAAATTAATCACATATAAGATTCAAGGTAATCTGAAGCATACAGGGTGAACAGTTGCTTTTCCCAGGTCTCTGTTGCTGTCTGTGTTTCCTTAGCTGATGAGAGGCGCTGAGGCGACACATGGAGTTATTCTGTGTGTCAATTAACAGCGAGGAAAACATCCAATTTTTCCTCCTCCACATAATGAAATTCACAGAGAGATTGAATTCTAATTCTTTCACCACTACTTGTTGATAAATCTGTCTAATGTTTTGTAATAACAGAGTGTGTATACAACATGTCATGCCATAAACAGTATTATGAAGCTAGAAAAACTCAATTATGTAAGGCTGACATTTACAAGAGACAAGCTAGACTACTCATTAAGCTCATCTAGAAAGTCAAGCATCGCTACTATAAACTTCTGAAGTGATTACCATTTCTTGAATCATGGTACAAAGTCCCTGATGATAAGTAAGAAGTGATTACTTTCCCAAACAAAGCAACTATTTGCTACTTTATCTGCTTTGATTGGAGTAATTATAAGCATTTTATCATCTTATATTGAAAATGGCTGTGCTGTCCCCCAACCCCGGATGGCACTGCACAGCATTTGAGTTCAAGAAGAGAGCCATATACCTCTCCCTTATCTAAGTGCTAACTGGACCTTGAATGGCCCCTCAGGGTCCATATGCTAAAGCCTTGGTCCTCAGTGTGTCCTGGCTAAGACAGTGGTACCTGCTCCTGTAGCATCCAGTCTTTTAGTCTTTCTCTCCATCCAGCTCATAACCTGAGAGGTTCATTCCAACACAAACCACCCAAAGCAATGGGGATACCTGGCGTTGGGCAGAGACCTCTAGGTCCATGAGCTCAATAAACTTTTTCTCTTTGTAGTTATTACAATTGCCATGAAGATTATGGTGGCATATGCTTTTTCCCCCTCAGTAAAGTTATGATTTTATTTCCCTTTGTAATCACTAAGTACCTAGTAGAGAAAACCTTGCCATGTTAATATGGTGTCACACGTCCAATTTTTACCTCCTTGTTTTCACATCTATCTGTGGTCTTGGCTAGACCTATTATTAATAATCTTCTTCACATCACTGTGTAACATGCTATCTACTGTTCCTGTGCTCAAGGCTGTAATGTGCTTTATGGAGAAACACTCATATTGGATAAGCTTTGTTTAATCACAAGTTATAGTACTACTGTTTGTAATAATGAAAAATATACACTAAACAAGGTGTCATGCAAACACATATAATAAAGATATATCTTCACAGGTTATGCGAAATGTGATCTTGCTTGTATGAATTAAACCTTTTCCTCCCTTAAGAGCAACAATTCATTCACTAGTTCAGGGTTTTCAATGACGTTAAAGGATATAGCTACCATAAATAGCGAGAGTGAATTGTCAGAGCCAAAGAGATGGTTCAACAGGGAAGAGCATTTGCTGCTCTCCGGAGGACCTGAATTTGTTTTCCAGCACTCACAGCTCCCTGGAACTCCAGTTCCAGAGGATCTAATGCTCTCTTCTGATCTCAGAGAACTCCTGAATATGTGCACACACACACACATAAAATTAATATTTATTTTCAATTAAAAAAATAAATTGTCCAGTTTTGACCACTCTTATCACTCTTCATTCCATCAGGGGACAGTCCAGGATGACCCCCGACTGGATTACTGCGTCCTTATTCCCAGACTTTCTGCATCCCCTCAGACTGGTCCCCAGAAGTCTACCAGAACTACCTTGTTAA